TTTTTTTTTTTTTTTAGGGTTTAAAAGGTAATATTAAATTTTTTTTTTTTTTTCAAAGAAACCTTTTTGGGAAATCTCCAGCTTAATAATTGGATATTTTATCATCTAAATTTAGATTAGTACTTAAATTTTATTATAATAATATTTATGGTATAACATAATGGCGTTTAGTAAAAAAAAAAAAAAAATTCTCTTCTCTTACAAGAATCATCGATGATGATTCGATTTTAAATATACTTTGCATAATGAAAAATAACCATCGCCATCGATTATTCTTTTATGTGGTGAAACATTTAATAATATAATAAATTTTTTTTTGGATGGAGAAGAAGTAAAATATCCAAAATATATTAATTGGTTACCAAATTGTTGGAAAATCATTTATTTATGTACTGTACGTTAGTCGTAACTCCGTCACTCCTCATCCGATTACAAGAGATTTTCAAAAGGGGTAAAGATATACTGTACTTTAAAAGATTAACATTTTTATCCTTAAAACTCGGTCCCGGTCCCGGTCTCGGGGATTTATGATTTATATGATTTATATTATGTATATTATGGTATATTATAATATATTTATGTATATTTATGTATATATTTGTGTATATTATGTATATTATGTATCATTATTATGTATATTATGTGATTTATAATTAACATAATTAACATATTTAACATTATTCAGTTCCCTTATTAGAATTATCGATTTATCAAGTAATTTCTATAATTAAATGGGTCTTTAAAACGAACGATTAACAATTATAAGAAAATCTTTATTAAAAAGAATTTTTAATTCTTTCGAAAATCTCAATAAATCGTAAATCCTTGTTTTTTCCTTTAAAAGATCTTAATGAAATAAATGATTTTAATGATTTTAACGATTTGATTGATATCGATAGATTTAATAATACGGTAATAATAATATTATTAAATTATTTATTATTAATTACCGTATTAATAATAATAATAATAATAATAACAATAATTTATTTTATTTTATTTTATTTTTTTTATTTTATATTTTGATTTTATTTTTTTTTTTATTTTATTTTTATTTTATTTATTTTATTTTATTTTGACATCTATTTTACTTTACTTTATTTTATTTTATTTTGACACCTATTTTATTTTATTTTATTTTGACATCTATTTTATTTTATTTTATTTTGTTATCTTATTTTATTTAGTTCATTGTATTTTCTATCATAAAATATCATTGGGAAAGGGTTTCCGGTTTAAAATTTTTTAAATAATCCAAATAAATCCAAATAATCCATTTTAAATAACCCATTTTAAATAAAAACATTATTTAAATAATCCATATTTAAATAATCCACAATCTTTTGTTTACTTTGATCCATTTCAAATAAAGTAAAAAGTAAAAAGATAATCACTTTTTTCCTCGGTTCTCTCTATTTCTAATAAGATGAATACTTGATAGTTTATCTGATATATAATGTATTTTATCGCGGCTTATCGTTTTATTAGTTTATATAGTTTTATCGTCACTTTTTTTTTTTCTTTTAATCTTTAAACTTCTATAATTTTCATAAGTTTACCCGATCAAAAAAAAAAATTAATAATAATGATAAAAAGAAAAAATAATGATAAAATAAAATAAATAAATAAATAAATAAATTTATTTTATTATATTATATTATATAAAATGATGAAAGCGAAAAAAGAAAAATTTTTTTATTCGTGAAAAAAAGAAAAAATGGTTCTAACTTTTTATTATTTAATGATTTATTTTTTTTATTCGTGAAAAATAACTTTTTATTTAATGATTTATTTTTTTTATTCGTGAAAAAAAGAAAAAAAAGGGTCTAACTTTTATTTGATGATTTATTTTTTTTTATTCGTGAAAAAAAAAGAAAAAAAAAGGTTCTAACTTTTATTTGATGATTTATTTTTTTTTTTTTCGAAAAATTTATACCCAAAATATTTCTTTTTAAAGAAAAATATTCTCGCAGTTCGATGATATTCGATATTCACCTCCCTTATCAAATAATCTAATAACCTAATTATCAAATATCAAAAAAAAAAAATAAAAACAAAAAAAATAAATAAATAAAAAATGATTTATTAATAAAATTTAATGTTTAATGACATTAAAATCACATTAAAAAAAGTTAAAAAAACTCTAAAAAAAAAATATTAAAAAAAAAGACAAACATTAAACCATATTAAAAAACACGTTTTTTTTAAAACGTAATGTATATTATGTAAGTCAAAAAACTATTTGTTGGTTTTATATACACTTTATATATTATTATTTTTTTTTAATTGTTTAACAACAATATGTTACTAAAGTCACTAAAAAAGTCACTAAAGTCAAAAGTAGTCAAAAGTAGTCAAAAGTGGTCAAAGAAGTAAATCAATAAAGTAATCAAAAGTAGTCAAAAGTAGTCAAAAGTAGTCAAAAGTAGTCAAAGTAGTCCAAATAATCAAAAGTAACATATGTGTTAATATGCAATATATAGTAATATATAATAATTATATAATATATAGTCTTTTTTTCGAAAAATCGAAGTGAATTTATTTATTTATTTATTTGTATATAAATAACAATTTTTTTGATACAATCATACAAAATGTTACTTTTTTTATCTTTTTTAATCCAAGTTTGTAACACTAAAAATGTTATAAATCGTCATTTACTGTATGTACTGCTTGCATTTGCATTTGCATTCATTCGCGTCGCATTGCATCATCCAATGAAATATTATTTAACTTAAAACGTGATCGACACCAAAATGAATTTTATCGGATAACAAAATATACTTATATATATAACTCCGTACTGCGCATTCATATTCGGCGTTTTCCGCTAATATTATTATTTTTTTTTTCAAAACTTTTTTTCATTTTTTTTTTCTTTTTTCATTGATGGGCGAGTTTGAATGAATTAAATGAATGGAAATGAAAACATTGTACGAGTAAAAAAGTAAATAAAAAATGTGGCAAAAACAAATAAATAAAAAAATAGATCTAAATAAATATCTCTATATTTCTTTACTAATGATTTATAGGAAATTTTAATAAATGCTTTGTATTTAGAAATTCATTGTAATTAATAAATTAAGACTTGAATTTAGAACCAAAAAAAAAAAAAAAAAAAAGAATCATAATGACTTTTAAACTTCCACGAAAGTAAATAAACCGCTGCGAGCTGGATAAACTAAAACAATATTTTTATGACTATACTGTAAAAGTGTAGATACTCAAGTATTTAACGTGTTACACCGAAAAAAAAAAATTTGCAATTTTCGTTATTGAATATTGACTAAATAAATCATTTAGTGAGAAAGAAAACATTGGGCTGAATTTGAATTTCTAAAACCATCAAATCCAATAAAATTCAATCTGCAAATCAGCCCATAATTACAATTTGTTTCATCTTTTTAAAATAGATGAAATTTTTTTTTGGGTTTTTTGAGTAAATAGAGTTATGAATATATTATTAATTTATTATACTAAACTGACAGATTGGATGAACTTTAATGTTTATCAAACAAATTCGTTTTAAGGTTGTGTTTCCGCCATTAATCACGTGATTATTTATGACTGGACGGATCCACGTGATTATGTATTTAGCCCCGATTATATTGGACGCTAATCCTTTTTTCCTAATTTTCATACTTCACCATACAAGATATCTCTAGATATCTTTTAGCCCTCACTCTCTAAATACGTAATATGTAAAAAAAATTCAACATATTTTAAATAAATTTTGAAATTTTCATGTGTCTTTGGATAATCTCATTTATGCTTAAGTGAAAACATAATTCCATCTTACTGATATATTATGATAATCAGACGTGTTTAGCCGTATAGGTGTGACGATCGAAAACTCACGTAATAACTCTTGAAAATACAGTAATGTCCTACGTTTCGTTTCAGGCATGAGACGATCTACAGTATTTTAAAAGAATTAGATTAGTGAAAAACATTTGTATAACTTTTTTTTTTTTTGAAAATAAAAAAAAAAAGTTGACGATAAAGAATGATCTATTATCTGATAAGCATGTACAGTATAAACATGTAATAAGGTTTTCACTAATAATAATAAAAGTTACTGAATTGTAAATCTAGAAATCTAAGTTTTCGAAAGGTGATAAATCCAATTTCTTGGGTAAGAGTATTTCCGCAAATATAACTTTCCGTTCCACTTTGTACTTAATTCTTCTAATGTTTTCGCACTATGAAGTGTCATTGTACAATAAACAATTTATAAATTATGTAAATCTCATAAGAAAATATTTAAATATGGGAAAATTCATTTGGGATGTGTTAAACAATAATGTGGTACAAGCGTACAGCAAATTAGACGAATTCATTAAGTTAATATGTAATTTAAAAAATTATCGGAAATTCATATATAATTTCATTTCTTATAAAAGAAAGTGATCTTAAATTTATACTTATTAAAAATTATTAAAAAGAATGTGATATTTATTATTTAGATTGTTTAGACTTTTAATATTATTATAATATTAGCCGTAGCTTAGCCTCGCTCGAAATGTTGCGAGAACTTCACAGGATGTTATGTTTTTGCTACAGTTTCCGAAATTAAGCAACAGCTATTCCATGTTTTTGACCATGCACTTGCCGCAATGCTAATCGATACTTTAAGTTACAGTAAATAATAAATATATTCATTACAACGAATCTCTGTCTCGTAGTAAAAAGTCCTCCATTATCACTTCAAAGAAAGAATAATTTTGTCAATCTCTTCCTTATCATCTGAATCTATAGTTGCTACTAATTTCACACGCACATGATGAACGAGTACTGTACGTTTTAAATTTCTCATTTTTCTACCATGCATTTGGAACGCATTCGTTGGAAATCCTATCCATATTCATTATGATTTAAGTCGATCATTTTTACTATGAAATGTTCCATTCTAAGGCATTACCCCACAATTGACTAACCATATTAAACAATTTCTACCCCTATCGTTAAATCATTCCTTTTTGGTTTTTCAATAATACAATCTACTTTATTCTCCAATATGTAATGCACCTTATTAAGAATTAGAACAAAATATTTTTACCATTTGATATCTCTTTTTTAATGTGCTATTAAAGCTACCTGCTTTTTAATATAATTCCTTTAAACTTCCTTGTCTTTATCGTTTACATAATATAATTGATACTGTATATCATTCTACAAAGTCTCTTATGATATGATGCTAATATTATTGCGAAATTCACTACTGATTTCATTACAAATACGTTATCAATCATTATTATACTGTAATTTGAATTCGAGTCAGCTATCTATATTCATAATAAATAAAAATTTAATATAAATAAAATATATACATCATTAATAAATTTCGTAACTATTTTACTTTTTTTTATCTTTTTATATAATGTAATCGTTAGATCTATTCATTTTGATTAAAGTCGATCATTTTACTATGAAATGTTCCAATCTAAGGCATTACCCCACAATTAACTTACCATATTAAACAACTACTACCACTCATGACTCATCACCCCTATCATTAAATCATTCTTTTTTGGTTTTTCAATCATTCAATCTACTTTATTCTCCAATTTGTAATGCACTTTATTAAGAATTAGAACAAAATATTTTTATCATTTGGTCTCTCTTTTTTAATGTGCTATTAAAGCTACCAGCTTTTTAATATAATTCTTTTAAACTTCCTTGTCTTTATCGTTTACATGATATAATTGATACTGTATATCATTCTACAAAGTCCCTTACGATATGATGCTAATATTATTGCGAAATTCACTACTGATTTCAATACAAAAACGTTATCAACCATTATATACTGTAATTTGAATTCGAATCAGTTATCTATATTCATAATAAATAGAAATTTAAATATAAATAAAATATATACATTATTAATAAATTTCGTAACTATTTTACTTTTTTATCTTTATATAATGCAGCTGTTAAATCATGTATAATTGATATTTTGGATCAAATATTTTAAACGTAACCAAGAGTGAAAATACAGTAATAATAATAGCCCATGTGAGTCTATATGATGTTTGGATGTTAGAAACTTTATTACTAATGATAATAAATTTAAGATTTATAGTCTATATGATTGCTAATATATTTGATATTACTTAGACTTTACAGATACATTATTGAATAATTTGTCTATTTAAAAATTTCACACGTCTCTTTCCTTTTTCATTTATTATAAAGTATCACAATACAATATATTTTACGAAAGACATTGTCAAAGGCAAGAAGATTCTGAGAATGGATTTTCATAATAAGGAGAACACAAGTTACACAATATCTTTTAACAAAATTTGGATCATTCAAAGCACTTCCTTTTACTGTTAAAAAAAATTAATAAGGCCCTCCTTTAAAAGATCCTAATTGTGTATCACATGCTTCTAATAAGTACAACTACCCAACTGATATACGATAATAATTGCATAATAACGTAAGCTGCGAGATCTTAAGCATTAACAGCAACAACGAATTTGTACTAACATACATAATCACATGAATATTAAATAATACTACTTAACTTGAATTCGTTTATATAAATCGAGTTTTTAGTTTCTTAACTTTTTTAAGTCCGATAATTTAGAGAATTATAAATGCTACCGAATAAGGTATCATTAAGATGATTATCATATCGCCATTTAGTTAATTTGTTTCAAAGAATTATAAATTGATGTTATAGAATAAGATATCATTCAGAATTTCAGATGCCGCATTTAAATTTTCAGCTACCGCTGTAAATTCAGAAACTTTTATTCGACTTTTTGAAATGGTTTGGGTTTATCCTAAAGTTAAAACGTGACGAAGATTTTTTCGAAAACTTAAATGCTGATCCTTATAGGCGGTTGAAAATAATTAATAAATAATTAACAGCGTTGGGAAGTTTGTCCAAAACTTTATCAAATCCTAAAAATCTGTCCAGAACCTTGAAATGATCCTGACTCTGAAGAACGCAACGGTGAGATAATCTTACCGAGAATATTATATATGTACAGTACAGTATTTTTGTGATTAATTTATTCTGACTTCAATTCAATTCTTTGGAACTAGGTATTATGCCAAATTAAAGACTTTCTTTGAATTGTAGTTTGATATCATGTGATTATTACTAAATCTGTGCGACAATCGTTCTTATAAATATCCCGATTTAAGGAAATCTATTAACAATCGTTCTTAAAATACAGATCAATCTATTTCATCATCGATTTTTGTCCCTTATATATTTTTCACGAAACTCTCAAAATTTCTTCAATAGTAAGGCGAATTTTAATTAAGTTCCATTACCCGAACTACCCGGTGTTACCAGAAAAGATTCCAAAAGAAAATGAGTGAGTAATTTTCACTATGGCTCTTGAGACTCCAGTGTTGACTCATTATATGGTTGCAGGTTACCGTTCCAGATTGGTTGAAGAGTTCCGGAGGAAGCTTATAACACTTTTCTTGAAAAAACCGGTTCAAGTTCAACCGGATATAAATTTTACTGGAAAATGGAGACGTATATATCGTTGGTATGACAATCTCCGAGCACGAAGCCATTATGATACGGTTATTTAAATACTTTAATGTTCCAAACGGTGGCGTTGATGATGATCCACCATCATAAATTATACTTCGATCACGTAAGAATTCCCGGCTCTAGTTTTTCTTGATCTTTGAATCATAATAACATTTTACATTTTTTTACAGTTTATTTCGATCCTTCTGGTGTCAGAGTAAAAACGGCAGCAGATATTGCTATTTGTCCGAATATAAATCTTATTCAAGAACCTTTGAATCCCGGGCCTCCTCCCGGTGATGCAAATGTACATTAACTCTAATAACATATTATCATATCAATGTTAATATGTTCACATAGGATAATCCACACGCGCGAATCATTGTTGAGCTAGCCGTATGTGAAGATATGGCTTATTTGATTGAAAAATGCGAAAAATGGTTGCTTTAACAATACGTACGAAGTGTATTCGGAATAAAAATTCATAATAAACGGAAAGGAACAAATGATCGGGCCATGACGATATGTCTACCTACCTGCTTTATTTTTATAATTTCATCTCTTAGTTTCTTTTTGATATTAGGCGATGTTATGGACTCGACAAGTGCCAGCACCAGTAGGAAGTACACCATCAACGAATCCAAGATTAGCCGGAGTTTCTTTTTCTAGATGTAAGATTGTGTGATTAAGCATCTTAGAGCTTAAAAATATAAATTTTACAATATTATAGTGGGATTTTGGGACTGTACAATTCAACAGTAATCTAGCTACTGGTTGTAATCGCCCAGGCTTGGGTAATTTCGCAGTAACTATCCCAGTGTCTGATGTTTTCTGGGACCCACCAATCGCGGCAGGAGCTCCGAACTTAGCTAAATATACTGTAACAGTCCCTTCTACAGTAAAAGCCCAAAATTTTGCCATCGGGTTTGTATAGATTACAACAAGTCGTTTTATCAAGACAAAGTGAATTATAGTTCTTGTAGATCTATATTAGATATCAATAAAATTATGGACAGTGTTCATGTCAAGTTTTTTTAATTGACTTAATAATATATATAATTTTATTATAATGATTATAATTCTAAATAGCATACTATGGACCTTAGTAAACTTTTATTTTTTAGGCTTTACTTTAATAATATAATGTTTGTATAAAAAAATTTTATTGAGCCAACTTTTTCAATTTTTTTAATTATAACCCTCAGATTCAACTTTTTAACAAAAAATAAATTACTTAAATATATGTAATTTTATGAAAAATCACAGCAGAAAGGCGTCAAAGCTGAATCTAAACCCATAAACTAAAGATAACCTAGAGCAGGAGATTTTCTAACAGCATCCAGATATAAGTTCATTCTAAAGCTGCTACATACAGCTCCTATGTAAACAACCCAAAAAACACCATAAAAGCATCCAAAATGGCAATCAAGCAAGCAACCAAAATACTACTTTACAGAAATCTCATTATTTAAACGATATCATTTCAATATCAAAATAATATCTATTATAAGATATCAAAACAATGTCATTACAATATTATATTTATATTGTAATGATAAGTTATATTGTGATGATATTGTAATGAAATTGTTTTGATATTGTTTTGATATTGTTACAATATCAAAATTGGGTTGTTAAGAAATTTTAGGGTTTTAGTAAAGTAGAAACCAAAAGGATGAAAAATTGGCATAAAAAAACCATGATGGCAAACTGTGACAATGTGACATGGTCATTCCAGCATAGTGCATGCTCCACATCAGAAATCCACATAAGAAAATACAGCATGAAACACAGATTGCTACTTTTTTACATGAAAAAAGATAAAAATAAATTGAACAAAACTTTCTTTAGGGTGGAAAGATTAGCATAAGAAATGCAGAGTCTTAGCAGAACTCAAGGAAATACAACCCCAAGAGATTCCATATCCGCGATCAAATGTTAAGCTTGACGAATATAGAGCGGAAATTCAAGGTATAAGAGATTTCCAAGCAGAATTCGGATGACTTGGCAATATAGATTCCAATCCTCATTACGAATATTATTTTATCACCAAGAGTAGGCAATCACACAAATTATTAAAGTTCTGGAGGGAATAAGCTTTTTGAAATCATTGTCACCATGAATTTTGGTCGCTTTGCTTCTTTTCAGCAAATTCTATAGTTTGAAAAAAAGGTGAACGACATCAACCATTGAGCTCATCTTGTGGCAAAATGTACCTGGATATTTGCGTCTTTTCAAACCAGTAGCTAAAATCACGGATAAAAATGAGATCAGACGAAATCAATATTTTTTATTACAAATTTCTTGTTCAAGAGAGGTAAAACATTGGGAGACACTTACCAGGGAGGACTATGATAATATGAACGTTCTCCGTTAATTTATCACCTGAAAACATTTATTATAAAATTTTCCCGGACTCAACATCTCACCACTAAGTTCATCTTCAATGTCTTTTTCAGTAGAAACGTTATTAAGCTTTTGTTCTTCTTTTTCATGATATCAACCTTCCAAAGAGTCAAGTCATCAGGATCTTTAATTTGAAATATATCTTTTTTTTTATCGCTTATAAGCTGCTTAAGGAGAGAAACTCTCAATATGTCTACGTTAACCTTTTTATCACAAACCATGTTTTCTTTGCCAATGTCAAGAGAGAAAACATTTTTAAAAGAAGTACCACCTAGAATCAAACAATTTAATGATCCTTCTATTTCGAAAATATTTTTGTGATAAAAGGTTGAGTTTTTGAATAAATTGAGTTTTTGAGGAGAAAAAGTTTTGAGAAAGAGAGCTTTTGAGAAAGTTTGAGGTATATATACTTTTCTGAATACATCATGACCAAACTCTTGATAAACTTCTTGATTGGTAGCTTGTACAACAAATGATAATATGATATAGATACTTTGAAAAAATCAGTACACGAGAACAGGTTTATTCAGAGGGTATTTAAAGATACTGTATGAATGTTGATCACATGTAATACCAAATCATCAATCAAAATAAAATTTAAATATTAATCTAGGTATAAAAACTAAATTACCGAATATCTAAAGTTACGATTTATATATTGCAAAAGAATAAAGAATAATATCAATAATACAATAAAAATTAATATAGAAGCATCTATATAATTCAATAAATTTAATATAGAACTATTTTTAAAAGAATATTGCTTTTTGTTTTTAGGTTTATCTGGAATGTTCGTTTTACACCATTGTAAAATCTACATAATATATAAAGGTTCATTATGTTTTAATTGAAATAACTTTTGGATTTATAAGAATTGGATATTTACCTGACCACAAGCAATATTAATTTGCATAAAATTTGGATCTGATGAATCGTTATTCTTTTTCAAAATAACTTTAGTATACTCTCTAAAAAGTCTTGCAACTTCATACATATCAGTACACTGAAGGACCAACTAAAGAAGACCATTTTTTTTTTTGGTTAATGCTTAAATTACAAAAAATTAATTTTTTTTTGAAAAAATTTATAATTTAATTTACCTTTGCAGCTTCACCTTTTCGAATTTTAACCTTATTTTTAACAGCAAAAGTATTATAATTCTTAAAAGTTAAAGCTAAGGTGGCATAGGCTATAATTAATGGTTTAGCAGCAAATCCGAAAATCAAAATATCCCCATTTTTTACTGTAAATAAATAATCTAAACATTCTATTACATGTAACAAGGTATTTAATATCATTTCTGAAAGACAATAAATTGAGCTTATTTTATTTTCGGGTAAAATCAATTCATCTATTTCTTCAACATATTTTGTCCAAATTTGTTTTGGCCAATATTTTCGATTTTCATTTAAATCTTCCGTAAAATCTCTTACAATGTTTATTTTTTGTAAAAATAAACCCATAGAGATTATACTTTAAACAAAGTTTTAGCGTTAGAATAAATAATTTAATCAAAAATAATAAATAATATTATAACTTACATTTTGGAATTCTTCGAAGTGGAAGGAACTTTAGCCCCTACAGCATTAAATAGATCATTTATACCAATTCCAACTAATCCAGCGACATAATGGCAATACTCATCAAATTCTTTAATTGTTATTATGCTATATCTATCATGTGAGGTTTTTTCTATATAATCCGCCATTCCATTTCCCATCCTCTTTGTAATATCAATAATAATATCTTGACATCTATATATATATATTTTTAATAAAATAAGAAAAAAAATATATTTAAGGATCTTTAATTAGTCGACCATGACTTTTTTTTTATTGGAGTAATTGGATAGACTATAAACTCTATCAATAACTAATCTACAGAACGTTAATCACAGTTATTTAACGCCGTAATGATATCCGATTAAGTAATTGTTACTTACTCTTTGGGAAGAAGAAGAAATTCTTCGATCACAACGTCAAATTCCATTAATAATTGCCGATCTTTTTCATTAGGACCGTCTATTAAATTTTTATATTTATTATTTGTTTATCGGCTTCATAATAAAGTACTTTTTTCAATAAAAAAAAATATACATTTATATTACTTTCTGTAAAAATCCAATCTTTCTGGCTAATCTTTTCATGAAAAGTTCTTAGTAACGGAATCTTTTTATCTATAGGAATCGTCATATCATCTTCGATAGTATCCATACCTCTTAATACAAGGTAAAACATACAAATCTATAATTAAGTTAATAAGATTTTAAATTATAAGTTTAAGTAACAGTAAGAAATTACAAACCAAATCTCTATATTCTTGTTCTAATTCCATTATAATTGAAGAAAAAGACCCAGAGGTCATTTCCAAGAATTGATAACAACGTTTTTTCCTTTCACTCCATGATGATATTTCTTTTGATTTATTATTTGATCTAAGAAATTTGTATTGTATTAATGCTAAAATTTCTGTCGGGTAAAATGATGATGTTATAAATTCCATAATTATAAAGAAATTTTTTATTTTTTTAAAATTGAAAAAAAAAAGCTTGCTTTTATTATTAAAAAATAGGAAACCATTTATGGTTCATAAAATAAATGCAAATAAGGGATTTAACCAATTATATTATTAAATAATAAAAAAAAATATTTTGACGATCCTAAACATGTATTAGAATTTGTGAAAACCTGATGATAAGCAATTGCGTATTTTTAATATTAAAAATATCTACATCATATACACGTGATCATAAGTCTGTTTAACTTTGAGTGAACCCTAGAATTTTCGTCATACGATCTCGTAACAGTCAGCGCAAAAAATTCCATTGAATCTAACATTTGCTATAAATCACCTTTTAAAGCTTCAAAGTTTCACAAAATCACAAAAGAATTAAATTATTTATAAACGAACGCATTATCAATGTTAGCAAATTTCAATTTCGGGAACCCCGATTGATGAAAAATGGTGTTACCCAAGATCATCATTTTTAGGCCGATCATTCAGATACTCTATATAAATCGTCCTGTTACCAAGAATAACTATCGTAAATTGAGAAATTTTTATTCAACCTCTAAGAAAATGACCTGGGGTTATCCTAAAGTTAGACGCGACGAAAACTTTTCTGAATGCTTGCATGGTCATAAAATTGCCGATCCTTATAGGTGGCTGGAAGATCCTGACTCCGAAGAAACAAAGGTGAGATAATATGAAAGAAAGAGAGGGAGTTTCGAAATATACACCGTTAATAGCGGTAGAGTATAATACTTCGACTCTATATTAATGTATTTCTTTAATGTCGTGATAAATTTCATGATTTGTTATATTCTGATTTTTTTTCAATTCATATTTAATTTCAAATAATTTCAAATATAAAGGCTTTCGTAGATGCACAAAATGCTTTGACTATCAAGTATCTGGAATCATATCCTTACAGAGAAAAATATCGTGAATCGTTAGTTTAACTTATTCCATTCCGTCATTAGAAAAAAAAAAATTTCGAAATAATCTTTCATATTTATTTAATAGTTTTTATTTCAATTTGATGATTTAGGTTAACCAAAATGGTTGATTATGAAAAATACGGTTGTCCATGGAAGAAAGGGGACAACTATTACTATTTTTATAATTCTGGTTTACAACCTCAAAGGTAAATGTTAACGTTAGATTAAGAATATAATTTTGTTCTTTCAAAATAAGTTGTTAATTATATGGTTTTAAATAGTGTCTTGTATCAATTGAGAGGGTCTTTAGATGCTCCACGTGAAGAATTTTTCAATGTAAGATAAAAAAAGATATTTTTGACTTTATTAACAACAAATATACATTATAAGAGTTTACGCAATAATTTTTTTGAATTTTGATAGCCTAACAATCTTGAAGCTGACGGTACAGCTTCCTTGAATACTTATTCATTTTCTAAAAAAGGGAATTATTTTTCATACGGTATCTCAAAATCTGGTCAGTCCAAATCTTAGAAATTCGAAGTTTTAAAAATTAATGTGATGATCGAAAATAAACTCAATAATGTATTTCGTAGGAAGTGATTGGGTTACTGTTTATGTTAGAAAAACTATAAATGATGAAGAAGGAAAGAAGCCTTTACCCGATGTCATTGAATGGGTTAAGTTTAGTAGTCTCTCTTGGACAATAGATGAAGAAGGTTTTATTTATAATGTAGGAAATTTATATTATAAAATTTTTTTTTTTTTTTTTTTAATAACTATTTAGTTTTGATTTATTTTAGAGATATCCCGAACCAGGAAAAAAAGATGATAAAGGAACCGAGACAGATAGCAACAAGAATGCTATGGTATATTAAATTCGTTATATTTGTATATTTGTTTATGTTATTATTTTATATTGATATTGTTCTTTATTATTAGTTGTATTATCATAGATTAGGGACTTCTCAATCTGAAGACATCCTTGTTTACAAGGACCCTGAAAACCCAGAATATATGTTTACAGCCCAAAGCACATTGGACGGGCAATTTATTGTTATAAAGATAGAAAAGGATTGTGATCCAATAAACAAACTTTACTTGATTGATTTAAAAAAAACTAATTATCAAATTATTGGTAAGTTATAAATATTTGATAATTTAGTATTTGGAAAAAGATTAATATTTAAACTGAATTATTTTATTACTACTAGAGAATAACGATTTTATCAAACTTGTTGATAACTTTGATGCCGAATATTCCTTGTAAGTAGCAAGATCATTTATTTTAATATATCTGATTTTCAAAAATTTAATAACTTTATACTTTATTTAGTATTGCAAGCGATGATACAACGTTTTATTTCAAGACAAATGCAAATGCACCTCGTTATAAAATTGTTAAATATGACCTATCCAATTGTGAACAGGTATTTATTTTTTTCTTTTTTATAATAATTTCAATACTTTATTTATTTTATTCATTTTATCGTTACAGGGATTTGTTGATATTGTTAAAGAACATCCAACAGATGTTCTTTCTGATGCGGCAGTATTGGCAGAAAATAAACTCGTTTTAACATATATGCATGATGTTAAAGATAGATTGTATATATATGAATATTCTACTGGAAAATTTCTTAGAGAATTACCTCTTGATATTGGTTCTATAGAAACTCTTACAGGCCGTAGAGAAGATCATGAATGCTTTTTTAAATTTGTTAGTTTTTTAAACCCTGGAATAATTTACCGGTATGATTTTACAAATGACCTTTTAACAGAATATAGAAAAACAAAAGTCAATGGATTAAATAGTGATAACATGGAAACAGAACAATTTTTTGTTGAAAGTAAAGATAAAACTAAGATACCCGTTTTTATCATAAAACCTAAAGTAAGTTAATTTCATGAATTTTTTATTTTTATCGTTTTTTGCATTTTAAATTATTTATTATAAATACTTGTATATTTGTTTTTGTCTTTTTAGAATTTTAACTTTGACGGAAGTAATCCCACATTATTATATGGCTATGGAGGATTTAATATAAACATTTCACCCATGTTTAGTACAAATTGGTTAAGCTTTATACAACACTTTAATGGAGTTGTTGCTATCGCCAATATTCGTGGTGGTGGAGAATATGGAGAAGAATGGCACAAAGCTGGTAGTTTTGGCAATAAGCAAAATGTTTTTGATGATTTTCAGGTAAACTATAAAAATTATCTTAGTTTATTTTTCTTTATAAATATTTAAAAATGTTTTATTGTTTCTTAGGCTGTTGCCAAGTGGTTAGTAAATAAGAATATTACATGTCCAGAAAAATTAGCAATTAATGGCGCATCCAATGGAGGTCTTCTTATAGGTGCATGTATAAATCAGGTATATGTTATAATAAAATAACAGTTTCTTTATATCTATAAATTGATTTTGTTTTTTTTTTACTTATTTTTAGGCACCAGAGCTTTTTGGTGTAGCAGTTGCTGATGTTGGTGTTATGGATATGTTAAGATTTCATAAATTTACCATCGGACATGCTTGGAGAAGTGATTATGGTGACCCTGACAAAAAAGAAGATTTTGAATATATTTACAAGTATATTGATTAATAATTTACGAAATTTTTTGTACTTGTATATATTCAAATTTTTAATTTTTATTATTTAGATATTCGCCTGTTCATAATGTTCAAACTAAGAAACCTTATCCACCTACCTTGTTAACAACTTCAGATCATGATGATAGAGTGTAAATATATTTAAATATAATTTAATAAGGATTTTTATTAAATTATTAATGACTTATATTTATTTTATAGGGTACCTTTACATTCTTATAAATATATATCTCAATTGCAATATACTGCAGAAAATAATCCTCATCCTTTAATGATTAGGATAGATACAAAGGTATGGATTAAAATGTTTTATTATTAGAATAATAATTATTAAAATTAATTGTTATTTTTTATAGGCTGGTCATGGAGCTGGAAAACCTACGCAAAAAAGGGTAAGTTATTGTTGTTATAATTAAAAAGGAGTAAATACAAATATTAAAAAAAAAAAAAAAAAAATAATATTTTCATTTTTTATAGATTGATGAATCTGTCTCTTATACACATCTAGATGTGTATAAGAGACAGGTTATATTCTGATTTTTTTTCAATTCATATTTAATTTCAAATAATTTCAAATATAAAGGCTTTCGTAGATGCACAAAATGCTTTGACTATCAAGTNTTACCAAATTATATTTTATTCATGATTTATGATTTCGAATTACAACAAACTTTACCTGATTTTCATCAATTAATAAAGGTAAGTTTAATTGAATCTTAAAAAAAAAAAAAAAAATATTAATATTTTCATTTTTTATAGATTGATGAATCAACTGATAAATTTTCTTTTATTGCTATGTCAATTGACGCCAAATGGCATGATTAAATTATTAGTTTATTTAAATATTAGTAATATCTTATTTTATGTTAATATTTACTATTAATTATATATATGGTTGTATTGATGAGTGAAATTATTAAAATAAAATAAGAGAAGTAGGAATTTAAGATTATTTATTTGATTATTTTAAATTTAATTGCAAAATACCTAATGCAATATTAATTTAATATGAAATTGCAATAACATATTTCGTTTCATTATAATTCTGTTTTTGTTCTTTAAATTTACAGAAAAAAAATTCTATAAAAAATGTAAATTACATAATATTTAAAATCTAATAATAAAATATTATAAATAACAATTAATAATTTTTTTTTTTTTTTTGTTTCAAATCAAATTATCAAAAATCTAAACATCATTTTCTCCTATAATATGTCTCCTTAAATTATTACTATTATCAAAATTATTATTATTTAATTCTATATCTACTCCATTTTCCCCTCCTTTAGCTTCTTTTTTTGCAATATATTTTAATACATCTTTTACAGTTGTAAGTCCTACTAATTTACCTGCATCTTCTATAAGAATTACACGTGGTCTAAAAAAGTAAAATATGTTTAATTAAAATATGCTGTGTATTTATTTATTTAAAAAAAGATAATAAACTCACCCCATTTTCTTAAATAAATCCATAACTGTTTCAAGTGGCAGTTTTGGATGTACAGTTATTGGTGTCTATTAATAAAACTTATATTAATTTTATAATATTACATAATGAATACAGTAAATATTATTTAATTTCATAAACCTGATCAATAAATGGTCCAAAATCAATGAAATTTGATGAACTTCCACCGTTATTATCAGAATCTGAAAAATTACTATGTTCAGGATTAAAAAAACAATGTGCTCCATTTGATGTTCCACAAACCCTTTTTGCTTTATCTAAAGTAATAATCAAAAATATTGACATAAATTTTATAATTAAAATGAATAATAAAAATTTTTTTTATATTACCAATAGCATATTTCAATTCTATTCTTCCAATATAACCTAATAATATCATATTCTTTTTATTTTGCACAACCGGAAATCCCTGGAAATTTGTTTCTGATAATATTTGATCTTTTAATATGAATTATAAAAAAAAATTTTTTTTTAAAAAAAAGAAAAAAAAAAATAAACAAAATAAACAAAAAAAAAAGGAATTAAAATCTTATTTACCAACTTCATCCAATTTTAGGCCAGATGCAGTCATTACTGTTAGGTCTTTTCTCATAACAGTAGCAACTAATATTTATTTAATTTAATAATATTATTCATTTCTCATATATTTTGTCAATTATAAAATATACAAGATACCTGGCACTCCGAAAGAATACTCCTCTTTATCCAAAAACGGAAATCCATTTAATTTGATTAATTGATCAGCAGTATGTCTTAGTTAAAGAAATATAGTAAATGAAAATAATCATTGTTTAATACTTAAAAAAAAAGGATATATTCCACCCTTTCCAAATAAGTCACCAACGGTTTTTGTAACCATCAAAGTGATCTAAAAAAAAGTTATAAAGTTTGTTAATACATTATATTATTTGAATAGCGCTTACTTATTAATAAATTATCTTACCATTGTTGGTAAAATATAAGTTAAAGCTCCTGTTAATTCAAACATAATAACAACTACACAAACTATTTAATAACAATTAGATTTAATGTTTTTATTATATATATTATTAATATTTATATACCTGTTAAATGCATAACTCCACTAATAAAATTGAAATCTGATTTTAGATTAAATAATATAAATGATAATATTATACAGTAAAACTTAAACACTCACCCCAATGCAGCTGCAGCACCTAAAAATGCATACATTCCCGGTGTAACACACTTTGTAATAAAAATTAAATTAGTCCATGATTAATATGTTGTGATAAAATAAATAAATAAATTACTTACTGTTACATCAGGTTTACAGGTTGCAAATAATGGAAATGTTGGATATGAGTCTATTAAAGCCTTAACACAAATACCAAGAAACCTTCCAAATGTTGCTCCAACTGCCATAGAAGGTATAAAAATTCCTGCCGGTACCTAGATTAAATTATAAAGAAATTAATATTTAGAACTAAGATATTAAATAATAACGGACATACCTTTGTTCCGTAAGATATTATTACAAATCCAGTTCTGAGTATAGCTGCAATTAATAATAAACATGCCATCCTAAACATTTGGGATGTCCTGAATAATTTATAAAGAAATTAATTTTGTAACTTAAAAATAATGAAGATAACCTATGCTTTATTTATTACATACTTGCATAAGTTTTCAAAATCGTGAATTTTGGATTCACATTCTTGAAAAAGAATACCCAAGGTTTCAGTCATATCCATTTTCATAAATATGTTAAAATACCCAATTAATGCAGTAATAAATGCAAGAACAGTTACTTCGGCTACGCCATAATCTTTCAAATATTTCTTGCGAAAGGATTGCATCTTGATATTATATTTTATTACTAAAGCACCATATAGACCCTAAATTTATTTAAAAAAAAATTAATGAGACTGATTACAAAAAAAGAGATAAAAATATAACAATTCCTTACACCAAAAATGCCTAATATGATAAAAAAGATAATTTCAAAAAAATGCCATTCTCGATCATAAGTAACTTGAAACATTACAAGCTTTCCAGTTCTGAATGGATTCATACCCTTAATGTAAAACACTATTAACATTTGATAAAATAAGATAGTAGAGCTTAAGGTAAACTATGAATAAACAAACCTGTAAAACTACAGTGGCTACTAAAGCACAAAAGAAACTTCGCCAAAGTGTTTTCATAGGAAAATTTGAACTCATTTCCTACATTAAGAAAATTCGTTATTTTACCTAATAAATGTAAAATTAAACAAAATATAAAATTTCCCAACCTCAAAGGAAAATAAAACGCCGCCAATAGGAGAGCCAAAAGCCACAGCAACACCTGCCGCACAAGATGCTGATAAAATTTCTCGCATTTTTGCTGTTGAAAATAAATAAATAATAATATAATGTGGTTTTTTTTTTTTGAAAAAAAAAAGAAAAAAAAAAAAGATATACAACAAACCTTTGTTTCTTTTGAATTTTCCAAATAATCGGGAAACAACATTTCCAACACAANAAAAAAAAAAGAAAAAAAAAAAAGATATACAACAAACCTTTGTTTCTTTTGAATTTTCCAAATAATCGGGAAACAACATTTCCAACACAAGCTGCAGTATGAACTGATGGTCCCTCTTTTCCCACATTTAATCCTGATGCAATAGCCAATGGCTGTTAAAAAATAAAAAAAAAAGTCATATTTAATACTTATCCTTATATTAAAAAGTAAATCAATTAAATATATTTACCAGACAGATGCTCTTTAAAAGCAATGTTCGACTTCCAAGAAAGCCTTTCATTACAAATCCAGCAAGAATACATTTTATTTCTGAAATACCAGACCCAGCAGCGTACGGTGCAAAAGTACGTATCATAAATGCACAAACCGCTGCGAATAATGTCTTAATTTAATAAATTATTAGAATATGATTATTTTAAAAATATGAACAATTAATTATAAGAATATACTACTTACTGCAAATACTACATAGAAAAACCAATTTATAATATAATACTGGGACCAATCATGCCAAAGTTCACAAGAACCATCTTTAATAAAATTAATAAATTACTAAATTTAATAATTAATATTGAATAATGAAATAATTAATTCACCTTCTCCTTCAATTTCCCAACAGCAAAACTTTTGATTTAACCACCAGGATTTTTTACAATATCCAGACTTTATGTCTGATAACCATTCTGTGATAATATCGATTAATGCTGCATTTAGGCCAATAATTGCGCCTACGGAAACGTAAAAAATAATTAATATATAATTCAAATACTATGTTAATTACATAAAACAAAAAAAAAACAAACCGACTATAGAAACAACAATCCAAGCTTGACCAGCTTCATAAGAAAGTCGTAGCCAAGTATTCCACGAAGAACGATTTTCTATCGCTGCACTTCTTAAAACGTTCATTCTAGATCGTTCATGTATCGCATCTTGAACCCAATCTTTTTTTAAAAAATAATAACATTCATACAATTTATTATAATTACATACGAAATAGAAATTATTAAATTATCTTACCGATAGTAGTAAAATCTTCATATCTTTTAATTTCTTCTAAAGCTACGTCATAACGATTATTAAAACTTTGAGAGCGTGGTGTACGTGGCGATCCTTGTGTTCCATATGGAGTACGTGGGGTCCGAGGTGTACGAGGTGTACGAGGTGTACGAGAAGAATTTGCTGATACTGGTGTATACGGATGCTGAAGGGAATTCCAAAAACTAACCGAAAAAATCAATGTCGAATTCTATAAGATCCTTATATATCTTACTTATCTTTGGAATGATAAAACTTACTTTAAAACTCTTGAGACGAAATTTGAATCTTCTCCCGAAGTCATGTTTACGATTTTAAGAATAAAATGCTGGTGATTATCAGATCGGAAAATTTTATTGAATTCGAACAATGCATGCAAGGATGATCCTTTTGCTAAAAATCGATAGCATGTGATAATATTCGAGTTCAAAATTTTCGTAAAATAAAAAATGGTTGTCAATAGTAGGTACGGTAAATTTGTATTTCCAAATCAGAAAAGTATTCTGGAACGAATAAGCAATTGTGGTGATGGCGTTCGAAATCTTGGCGAAAAAGAATTGGAAGGTTATCAACTTTATATAGTCGAACAGTGGTAAGTTTTTGATTATTATATGAAAAATATCTATTAGAATAACTAAAATAAAATAACATAGGGCATGTGATAAAATACGAAGACCTTATAATACAATCATTGTTTTTACTGGAGACTCGGCACACAAGGTAAATTATTACTAAAATATCGATAGTTTTTATCCTATCATAACATCATATTCTTTGTTTTTTGATTAAAGATTAAAGCATGCGTTGTAATTATCGAAGAAAATAAAATCGAACATTATCCAGAAAAGTTAAAGCTGTTGTTTGATAGTTTAGAGAAAGATGACATGACTAGGCCTAAAAATGTGAGAACGTTTATCAATATTTATGTACTTTATCAATTTTTAATTTCTTTCTAAAATTTTTGATTTATTTGTAAGTCCGGCGAAGAAACTATTTTTGTCACTAACTTTAATACATTTCCCTCATCATTGAATACTATTTTGGTTCCTGATGGAGATTACGAAGATCATAAATTTGAATTCTTTTTAAACCTTAATTTAAGAAAAGCTGGATGTAGTGGCCGAAGTGCCCTTTCTTTGAACCCGCCAACGTAAGATTTCGTAAATTTTATTTTAAGGTTTATATTATCCAGTCTGATCTTTTTCTTATAGAGACGCGCAAATAGACAAGTTTATTCAAACATACGCAGTTTCGGATAGCATACCTTTTAAATATGCTGTCTTGGAATTGGTGAAATTGGTCCAGATCTCTTTGTGTATATTTGGACTTCTTCCACAGGATTGTATGGATGGATTGCTATGTGATTCGACAGAAATAGCCTTGAGAGAATTTCAAAATACATACCATCCTGGCATAGAAGTATGTCTGTCATATTTAAATTAAAATTATATTTGTATAATTTCTAAAGTATGTTTTTACGCATAGATAAGAGATAATATATTAGATCCAACGTTAGTTGCTGTGATTTTGACGAAGGTTGTTAGTATAAGAAATAAACTTAATTCTCTTGGATACCAGGTTATATTCTCAATTCAACATTATTTATAAATTTTTTACACAAATGGATGAGTATTTAAAATAATTCTTACAGGTCGGAAAAGATCCATTTTCTGACACGGATCTATTTCTTAGCGGAGTTGAATCTTTTCAAGTATGAACTTTTGATGCAATTTAACTGCACAAAATTAAGTATTTTATCTTTAAACAACTATAAAAAAAATTTAGAATGCAAAAAAAATCAATTTTACGCGCAAATTGGATGTTATTACCGTAGAAAAAATATATGAAGCTTATAGTCGTTTTCGTAACCCTGATGCAATAAGAGTTCACAAGGTATTTGATTTTAAATTTTAGCTATTTATTTTTATAAAATAGAATACTATATATATATGTATATATTGATATAATATAGGTCTTGAAATCAAAATTGGATGATATAAGTACAGGTATTTAAATAAATTTATAAATGATATATTTTATTTATAAATGTAAATTCTCACTAACGTAATTTAAGCTTAAAAGGATCCTCAAATACATCAACTGATATTGAGACGTGCAATTTAGAGGAATTTGGCAAAAACGTTCAAATTGAAAGGTTAAAATATTTGTGGAGGGGCAAGGGGGATCCCCCGGAACAGTTTTTAGAAACATATTGGTTGTTCCATAATAGTAGAGATTTTGGTAAAGAGCTTGGGAAAAGTATTTTGCGCGGTGTTTCCGGTGTTTCTGGGCGAACGGTACGCAATATTTTCATCTTAATAATCCGATTGGATAATTCTAATTACTTACCTATACTGATTAATAGGCGAAAACCGGAGAAGCTATAAGAGATGGTGTTCTTGGGATCAAGGATAATGTTACTGGGTATGAAAGTTTTACATTATCGCAGTTTACAGAAACGGTGATATTTTAACTGCCATAAACAACTATTATTTACTGTAGACTATTTTATGAGTGCTGTAAATTTGATGGTTTACTTACAACATTTACATTTATTTCCTTGATAGTTCGTTTTCAATTCTCGTTGATAAGCGGAAGGAAAAGAATACATATAAATCATCATCATTACCACCAGACTATTTCTCACAGAATCAACATAAGTACGTTATTAATCTTTGACGTAATTAATTTATTTTTAGTATGAATAAAAGATCTAATCTAAATAAATATCATACTAGCGAAGTTGACATATCTTATAATCAGGGAACAGGTTTATATTTTTCGATGAATAATTTTAATATTTAGTTTTATTAAAGACGCATTTTTTAAATTTTCAGGTTTGACTTATAATGCAAATTTACAAAACAGAGGCGAAAATTATGTGAGTCCTACTTCGCCTCATGAAATTGGGGATGCCTCTAAAACTGAGTTATCGAAAGGAAGTGAAATTAAAAGAACAAGGAGTAATTCTTTGAGTACTTACGAATTCATTGCCGAAGCAATGTCTACTCGAGTTCTACCAAGTGTTTTTAGGAGATATTCATTCACTAACATGGATTTGGCGCGAAAACAAGCCGATGGAACTTTAATATTGCCTCGGTAACTTATATATTCGAAATTGTCTACTTATTTGTATTTTCATAGTTTTTTTAATTAATCTTACTTTTTAGGCGCAATTTAGATGTAGACATTCAAACCTATATGATCTATGATAATCTCAAACAAAGTGAATCATCTTTGAAAAGTTTGGCAGAACGTTTGGAGGTATTTGTTTAACATTATTTGCTTAATTTTAGTATTAATTTTTTTTTAAAAAAATATTTTTATTTAGTCTACTGTAGAGGAATATAACAAGCAAATCGAAGAGTTAACAAAGTCATATGAAGAAAGAATTCAAAATTTTAAGGTGAAATAACATTTTATGAATTATTTGATAGATAAACCAAAAAATTTTCCTAACCTATTTTACTTCCTTTAGTCAACAGAAACTGAAGGTGGGGAAGTATTGGATAAGCAAAGAAAGTTATCCAAAATAGTTTCACAAATTGGCACTAATAGTGCAAAATTAAATTATGAGTTAGGTGTATTAGAGGAAAAACTAAGAGAAGTTGAAGAATTCGCTGATACATTTTGTTTAAAGGTTTGTAGTATTTAACTTTTTTTTTTTTTTAAAAAAAAAAAAACTTATTATAAATATTAATTTAGGTTCAGATGTTGCAAATGAAAGTGCCACAATCACGTAGATCAGTCAGTATCTTGTACAATTTTTTGAATTATTTTCAAGATCAATGGAAAAGAATTATTACTAGATTTTATAAACCTAAAGAAGAATAATTTTAAAGAAAGAACATTAATAGTTATCAGTCTAGTATAATGTGTAGTTATAATAATAATAATTTAAGTAATATTTAATGCGAATTTGATAATTATATTTAAAATTAATTTTGCTCATCTATTTTCATTTTTTTTAACTGGTTGAATTTTTTCATATTCACGTTGTAAAATTAATTGTTGTTCAAGTTCCATTTTATTTTGTTGAAATTTATTTTTTTTAGCTCTTCTCTCTTCATCTCTTAATATACCTGCATGCATAAACTTTTTTAAAAAAAATTTGGTTAATAAAAAAAAATAAAAATAAAAATGAATACAATTAAACAATTAAGTCAAAAAATAAGTATACCTCTTTTTCCTTTTTTTGTAGATGATGCACGCCCCAGACGGTACCAGTAGAAATAAATATTGCGGCAATTAAAGTAATTTTAGCTGTTCGAGACATTTTATTATAAAGAATTAAAATTTTGTTGTGCAGCAAATTATTTTTAATAAAAATTTTTCAGTCACGTGATCTTTGGTCGCATTACGGAATTATGCACTAGCACGTGATAGTGTTAGTGCGACGAATAAAAATTTGGAAGTAAATTATTTATTAGCTTATGATTGAGTTTTTCAGTTAAATTGACGAGGTAAACTTGATAGATTATGTTTCTAATCAAAGTAAAATATGGGTTAGCATATAAAAAAAAAATAAATAATAAGATAAGCTAGACTTTTTATTATCGGATTACCAATCAACAAACATAATCGTACCCAAAGTACTATTCTATTTTCTGCGAATGTTTCAAAAGTTCGTTCCAATGTTACGTCTTCCCAAAAAAATAATGTATAATATTTGAAATTAAATTTGTCTTCTTGGTCATTTTAAATAATATAAATATGATAATTACTTGAAACTTGAAAGTAAAAGTAACCATGGCGAAAATGTTCATTTTATTGTATTTTTAATACTAAAAAGTAAATGATGAGATCGAAGGATTTGGTTGTGTTTTGTAGTTTAAGGATTTAATCTCAAGAAGGCTTTGTGGTAGTTTTTATATTTTTTAAATAAAGATTACTCTTTGCAGATTACGCGAAATTCAAAAATTATTAAAATTATTACAATTATTACAAACAACTTAATATCAATAAATGGAACTTGTTTATAATATGAACACTAACAAAGTTCTTAATTAATTTGTTTGCAAACTTTTTTTAAGTTAATGAAACATGTGAACCACCATTCTATAATTTGAATATTTGATCACGAACCATATTCTAACAAAAACATTATAGTTGTTTATTATTATAAGTTGTTTTATTATTATAAGTGCAGATGGAAAAAATTTTGCGATTTGAGATCGTCATGCTCATGTGATTATTTATAAAAATTAAAAAATGAGAAAAAAAAGATTGGTTTTGGAGGACCTGAGTATCGATCTCAGTACCTCTCGCATGCTAAGCGAGCGCTCTACCATCTGAGCTAGACCCCCCAAATTGGTTACAGGGAACTAAAATTTCATCCTTTTATAACATTATTTAAAAAATTATTAGTCAAAATACGTATTTATTAAATTTAAAAGTCACGTGAGTAATCTGTGAACGGGGGTTGTTTAAAGGCTGAAGTAGTGAAACTAAGAGGCAATAACGAGGAACAAACATATCTGTTTTTTTTAAAAAAAAACGCTGATGATGACAAGTAGATTTGGGTAATTATAATTTTTTATTGAAATTTTAGAAAATTTTGAATATATTTTTCATTTAAAATAATAAACACTATATGTTTTGATATAATGAATCTTGTCCACTCCTATTTTATCAAATAAATTATCGATTCTTAAGGCTTTCTGTGTCTGCTTACATAATGTTTTACGCTTGGTGCTTGATAATATATGTCTCTTCGTTTTTTCTCCCCAACATTATTGCTGGCCATAAAATCTTTATACATGCTTTTGAATTCTCTAGCACAGAAACACCTGTTCCTTCTTCAGTAAAGACTAATAATATCCCGACATAAGCAAACATTGTTCGCTGAAATTTCAATCGCATGGTTTTTTTCCTCTTCTTTGGATGAAAACATTTCTTGAATCAATCCTGTTCATTTTTCACTCATGAGAAGTAGTGGAGACAGTATTCTGAGAAATTGAGGGTCGGCAATCTCCGAAGAAATATCTTGGGTTTGCCTATTTAATTCTCAGATTCAAACGATCATAGAGCACATCAAATATGAACTGAACCCGAGAATTAAAAACAAGATGATGAATGAGTCTTACCTGGTTCCGACTTATGCTTGATTTTTGATTTTCATGGGTTCATATGCTAATAAATAATAATGGAAAGTGTTAGAGAAGTTGAAGCTTGAAATTTTGGCCCTGTCCGTCGCAAGACTTAACCATTGTCGCAAGAAAATGGCTTAGGACAGGATAACAGTTTGTCCGTTCGCAAGAATCTATCTAGCCCATCGTCGCAAGAAAACGGGCACGGGACAAACTGCTAATACTCGCAAGAGTTTTCGTATTCGAAAGTAAAAACTTAATCTCTTGATTCTGTTAATTCTGCTAATAGATAAAGAAAGAAGAGTAAAATAATACTATCTTTGTACCATACCACCATTACCACACCATTTATATTTGTAAGACGTGTACCTGGTGATACATTTGCAAAATTACCTTCTTGACCCACTTCTTGTTACTATCTTCACCCTCATATATGTGAAAGTAAGGTAGTACAGCTGTACAGGTCAAGAAGGTAACTTTTGCCGTATATACTGTATGTCAGTACTCATGGTTATTTGATTAATTAGGTTCTGCTTTTTGTGATACGACATGGTGATGATATTTAAACAGTTTTAACGCGTATCCCGTATACCCAAAAGTTTACTTCGCAGAGGACAATGTCGTTTATAGAAAATATTAGATAAATACTTTTTCACAAATTTACCCAATGTGTGGAGTCTTGACTCTTGAGTCTACTGTTTTAGAATATGACGGACCAGGATACGTTAAAAAGAACTGTTTATATTATAAAGAAGGCTTACAGAATATCTGTAAGTCGTCTGAGTTTGACGCGCTGTGGTAAAGTCTGTGGCGAAGAAGTTGGTTGAAACTTACGAAGAAGATAAAAAGAAAGGCACAAACTTGCTTGATTCTCACTCAGCTAAGGCAGCTATTCTCCAAAATAGGGTAAGAGTCTTGTGTTATTCAATCATATACTTTTTTTACCAAGCTGTTTAACTAAAATTATCAAATTATTAGCTTTCATTATTGGTCAGAAAAACGGAGTCCGCGAATGCCACAATAGGCGCAGTGTTTAGACCGATGTCTCATTACGTGGATTTGAAACACCAACACCAAAGAATGTTACAAGAGAAACAGAACATGTTTATACAACACTGGAACAATTTGATGAAACTTTAGTCAAGTTGAACCGGACTCTTATGTTGTGAATCTACAATGATCGCGATTCTGAAGAGGAAGATGATACTGAGGATCAAACTATCACTGGAGGTAAAAATGTTTCTTGGATTGTAGACAGTATTGGCATAGTATTGGCATTCGAAAAAAATTTACTATCAGCTGGAAACAAAACTACCGAAAACAAAACCCGAATATTACGATGTAATTTTTTTTCAACGCTATAGATAAAAATTGGTTTCTGGAAAATTAGAAAAAAATAGGGTAATACAAATGCTCAATGATATAACGGAGGAGGAGAAAGAAACGGCAAATAATATAGAACAGGAGATTAAATCACTATTGCACGAAGTTATTTCTCGTGACATCAATATGTCTAAAAAGAAACTTAACCAGCGGAAAGGACTAAATGACCATTTGAAAGAGAATTCGCGTTACACTTTGTAAATCACATGTGAGTCTTTATCTATATTTGTTTGATCTAATCACTCTAATAAAATATAATTAATCATGATTTATACAAGATAGAGCCGATGGAGGACACAAATTTGCTTCTCGAATCTATATCCGAAGGAACTTACATCGTTAGTGTCCAATTCTCAACAAATTTTTCATAAAAAACAAAAAGAGTTGGCGTGTTAAATATGGTGAAACTTGTCTCAGGGCAAGTGCCAAAGACTGCAATTCTCAGAAGGAAGATGACAAGCGCAGATCTGCTGGAAAGGAGATCGATGCAATTATTACTTTAAAAGATGAAAGTTGTTGAAGTAAGTGGCCCTCCATCAAAACAAGATTGGACGCATTTCAAGGCGATCGAATGAAGATTGTAAGATGCTTAAGACTTTGATGAATCGATTAGCTGAATTGCGCCCTAATTCTGATATTAGAAAGATTAAGCTATACGCAATGCAGTTATATTGTAAGTCTTTTATTTGTGATTTTGCTTGTTATTTTTCGTGTTACTAACTTTGACATTCACAGTACCATGAGATTATTATTTACGAATTCCGACTTAAATATGCTGAGATTTACACGATGATAGAAGTTTTAAGATTTCCCTTTACAAAGACGTGAAGAACATGAAAGATGCATATGGGGTCGTAATGGGGTTACTAAAATACGAGGTTTGTATGAATTACAATTTGTAAAAAATTCAAAATATAAATATGGGAACTAATTATTTTCATAATTAGCGTTTTCTATCTTCAAGCTCGGAAGAGATACAAGATTTTTTGTGTTAAGATTGCAATTAAAAATGACTACGCGAATGATTTGTTCTCCCGGTGGACGCACTAAGAAAGCTGTCGCAAAAAAAAATAATTATATTATTTTGCACGAGTTTGTATATTATATACTGTATATGCATTTTTCTGCTAATAAAATTTGTGATTATACACATACATCATTTCCACATATATTATAAGCGCCAAAAATAATTTTTTTGGTAACGGCAATCAAAAAATGATTTCCGTCTCCTGAAGTAACATAGCTTTATATTCCGATCATATTAATAGATCGTTCGCAGAGATAGAAAGTCTTTCGGCAAGAATTTTAGGTGATCATGACGAAGATTTTTCATCCTTTATGCTTTCACAGTTACTATTCGGATTTTATTATGATAATTGAAGATAATAAGCTCGTTCTCCAAAATATTCAAAATAAAAAATAAATAATCACGTGATTTTACTGACGGTCGTCAGCGAAAGTTTGCCAAGAAAAATTTTTATTAATACATGCAAAAATAGATACAAAGAAAGGTTCGGAACTTTGCCCGGGATACATATGAAAAAATAAATACATAAGTTTGGGTCGTAACCCGTAATACATGACGAAGTTTCTACATTTCCCTATCTGTCCTAAATTCTAATTCAATTTTCCTGCGATGTTGCTTAATGACTTTACCCTTTTTACTCCACTTTGCAAAGCTTCCACCGGCTTCTGTGCCTTCTCCAATATCCATACAATATGTCCGAGGTCCTTTTCTACCTTAGCTTGCAAATTCTCATCTTTGTACACAACGGTCATTGGTTCCGATAGATTAAACAACTTCCCTCATTATCTAGCGAACATTCCATAAAATACCATTCGGATGCATCGGTAACAATCCCAAAACATCCTGTCCATTATCGATTTCATCTGCCTTGCGTTTACGTGACAAAGTTGATTCCATCTGCACAGACACCTGGGCAAATCCCTTCATAAAATCTTCCTTCTTAACTTCGATTACACCAAGGACTCTACCCGTCGAACGACACTTTACTGCATAATCGAGGTTCCCTTGTCCATTTCGATCCTCGATAAGTTTTCCGGTATGAGTTGAAATTATTGTTGTAGAGCGAGACCCCGGAGAAAGGTTTTGAATGGCTTCATAACATATGTTTCTGTCGTCACTATTTACTTATGGGGTATGTCCCGTGTTGCGCCTAGACCTTCTTTCACATTTTCTCACATTTGTTCGGGAAAAAAGAGGTGCTGGTTAGCATGTATATTTTCTTTTCGATAAATGCGAAATTAATTTGTCGCACAGACCTTTCATCTTACAGATCTTGTGATGTGACAGGTGAGACGACATGCGATCAGGTGAGAGGTATTGCTGGCGATTCTCCTGCTCGGCCTTCCGGACCTGCCTGAAGTTTCCAATCTACCTCGTATATTGCGATCGACTAGAATAGTGATCTAGTCGAGTCATAACAAAAATACATACCTGGCCTCTTTCAAAATTCGGAGGAGAATTCTTCAAAGTACTCCTATAATACTTCTTTTACGTCCGGTCTTGTTACGAGACGCGCAGGCTGTCTAAAAAAAAACAAATGAATACCAAAACTATCTGGTCAGTCGCGGGTATTATGTAAGAATAACCAATAATTCGGTCTCTACTTACATAATAGGCTCGAGTGAGCCTTAGGAACTTGTCGTTGCCAGTGAAATTCGATTGATTTGTTAGAAAATTTTATCAGCCACTTCTTCCCAGAAAGCTGATGTATATTATGATATTCTTCACTTCAATTTTTTCGCTCGTCTATGAGTATACGAATTTCTTGGTCATTCCAATCGTTAGACATTGTAAATATTCCAAAAAATCCTGGCCAAATATATATTTTTATCCTCCGGTATGATTTACAACAGGGAATCTTTCATCTTTTTTCTGAGCAATATGATGAAAAAGGGAGCATAACGTGATTTTTTGTATCGATACAGCGTAATAATTATTTTAATTATTCTCTCCAGGATAACATATTTATTTCTTACTCTTCTAGTATGACTGTAATTTTGCTATACTGTAAATTTTATGTAATGATGATGATCACGATCACATAAAGAATTATTTAATATAAAAACGGAGGAAAGATGGTAAATAAAAACTTTTTGTTATACTCCGCTAAATTAATACGCGAAAACGTCATATAATCCACAAATCTGTATTTTTATAAGTTTTAAACAATATACGAATAAAAAAATGACTCGATTATACGAAAATTTAATCAGTTTTATTAACATTATTAAATAAAAAGTAAGAAAAAAACTAAATAAATAAATATCAATATCAAATGCAAAATGCAATGTCTATTATGGACATTAATTATAAATTTAAGTAATATGCAAGATTAAAAAAAAAATGTTTAAGATGAATCAAATCCAAATTGAATTCTAACTTGATTAATTAATTTAAAATAATCTTCTAAATAATCTTCTCCCTTTGATTCAATTCCTTCTTTAATTAGCCAATCATTAAATCCATTTTGTGGCGGACATGAACTAGAATATTGACTTTTTATCATTGAAATTCCTTTGAGTATTTTTTCTTTTGAATCAAAGTCGACTTCATTCGAGTTTCCTTTATCATCAAATAAAGTGTCTTGAAATTGTTTACACCATACTCCTATAATATCTGCAATTTGATCGATTGCGTCATAATTTTGATCTTGTTCAAAAAAGCCAGTATTTTGCCCTACTTTTATCATATTTGGATCTATAAAATCCGTTACGAATAAAGCACACTTTGCACGAAATTCATTATCTAATTTATTTTCGTATAAATCTGAAAGCCGTTGCAATCCATTATTATCCTTGATGGATTGAATCGCATTTTGGTTTCCGCGCACCATACTCGATAACGCATATATAAGCCGAATTGATACTTTTGTATCAGTTTCGGTTGATAAATTATCTAAAAGTCGAGTTACAATTCTCAAATGTTTTACATCGTCTTGTGCTATAGGATTGTTCTAACAAAAAAAAAAAAAATTAATATTATGAATCAGAGTAAATACCTAATATGCATACATATAAAGTTCTTTATCCTTACCTGCATTGCGGTCCCAATAACAATTGCTGCTCTTTCCTTTATTTGAGAAGATTCATGATCTAAAAGTTCAAGTATAGATTTTATACCTTGATCTTTGGCAAATTTAATTCCAAAATCTAATTCATGAACTAGTTCTTCTAATCCATCTAAAGCCGAAATTAAACCTTGTATAGACGAATTATTTTGTAATTGTGAAATATAAATTTCAAATTGAGCATGATCTGAGTTTGGAATACGAAGATTTTCTTTATGTCTCGATGTAATAATTGGAAGTGAAAAATTATCGACTTTAGAATCTTGATGAAATCTTAAATCGGAATCTTTGTCTAATTCATTATCATGATTAATCTCTTCTTGATTTATTGGATCCCCATTTTCATCAATAACTATTACTTCTGAAGATTCATGATCATTTGGATCAAGTATTTTTGCGTATTTCTTTCCAGTACTAAAGTCTATTTTAACATGCAAACCTAAATAAAATAGTTCAAAAAAAAAAAAAATACATATATATTCAAAAGTTAAAAAAAAAAAAAATCAAATCAGCATATATATTTTAAAAAAGTTTTATTCCAGTACCTGGAGGTATTTCTTGTCCCTCACGTACTTCTTGAAATTCCTCTGTTGCGACAAACTCTTTTGGATAACATTCGTTTCCCTTACATATTTTATTGTTTGTTTCTAAAGAAGAAACAAAAAGGAATAGGAAAATAATTAAAAATACACAAATAAAAAGTAAATATAATGATTTTTTCGTAAGTATTTTCGTTAACATGACTGTTTAAGATAAAAAGAAAGAAATTAAAAGAATAATCGATTTCTTATATTTTTTTTATATTTTTTATATTTTTTATATAATATGTGGTGAACTCTGATTTGTCAGATTTATCATATAGCATTAACGTTGATAACAAATGAAAAATATCCAAGTATTTACTTGTCCAAGTGCGTCTATAAAAACTAAACAATACATAATTGATAAAAACTTTTGGGGATAATTATGACAACATTTTTATAGACATTTGATTTCAATCGAACTGTCGCAGCAATATTTAATAAAGAACACTACCAAAAATTCTCGATAACGTGACTTCTTTTGTCGCCGGTCACGTTACTGATTAGCGGTCAGGGTACCCTTAGTTCATTCTTTGAATTAATAAAATTTTAATATAGTTAACTAAATAATGTTTTAAGAAATGAGAACTTGGGAATGATTTTCAAAAGGAGTATATTATTACGAACCATGATTAAACTTATAGTGGATGGAGCTGCATTTTACGCTTTACCGTTTTACTCAGAGCCAGCTTACTGTTCTATCTTTTAGTCATCTGCGTATATTTCCTTAAACATAATTTATTGGTTAATTACTATCCTTGTTTCCTGCTCAAAAATCATTACTAGAAATCCTCAGTATCATAATTCTGCGGATTTTTTCGCTTGTTAATAGATCACTTAGGAGTCAGTTTATTGGTTGATGATCGACGGCCTAACGTAGCTTACTAATGAATATTACAATTTTTATATATAATGCTTATTTATTTTTATGGGGTATTATAAACTAAAAATACTTTTTTAATAATAATGATGATAATTTTTTTTTTTTCAACAGTTTCTTTCATTTGGTGGACTAATAATGATAAAATTTGAAAGAAATAAGAATTAAGGGCATGAAACAATTATAAATCGATTTTGAAACTCAAAATATTTACCGCCATGGAACTCCTAATGCGTCACATATTTCTTTTTCGGTTTTTTGAGCAATTATTTTGCCTTCAGAGTATTTGATTCCGTCACGCCCACGCGAAACATTCATAAATAATCCATGTTGATTTAAGCACATTTTCTTTTTTCGGGCCATTAACCTCATACTTCTGTTGAATATATCGTTACCAGTATACGATAATAACGCCGCACCCATTTCATTATATGGTACCATAAATATATCTATTAAGAGTAGATGATAAGTCAACATTGTAAAAAATTGACGGCTATAACACTGTTATATAACTGTTATATACCTAAACGTCTGTGTACTCCTTCGGGTAATTTACAAATTCCCATGAATTTTGCGGAAAGACTCTCTCCATTATGTTGTACTAATTCATGTGTTAAAAATCCTTGATCACGTAAAATTTCAACTAGCCTTGACAAGACGCCTAAATAATTATTGAGGAAAACTTAATATTTTTTTTTATAAAATATTTTAAATGTAAATAATTACCAAGATGAGTCGTGCCGTCAGAATCGTTCCTTGTTATCATTATATCAACATCTCCACAGTCTGGATTTCCTCTTCTATAAGACCCTCCCGTAATACACTCTAATTTGGGATCTATTGATAGTGCAGCACGTGTTACCCATTCTGATATCTTCGTTACTTCATCTCTTGGTATCCTTTTTTGCAAGTCCTATTAAATTACAAATAAATATAAATTATATAAAGAAGATGATAAAGGATTGAAGAATTAAACTTACATCATAATACAATATGCCCGATATTTGATTACGCGTTAATTTTTCATCTTTCAGTACGTCTTCAAAGGTTCTATATCCTTTTACATACCATTTCATAGCGATTGATGGCCCAACACCTGTTGAATATTAAGAGTTATTATAAGTTAGATAATATATCAACATAATATTTTATAGTCTTAAACCTACCATAAACGTTGCCAAATTTTTTGATTATGTCATCGCCTTCCGAGAAACTATCTATCCTTTTTAAATTTCCAGTATCAATTATCTCTGCAATCTACGAAGAAAATAAATCAGTATATCTTTCTTTCAGAAATTAATTTTAATAAATGCTTCATACTTTCTCAGCAGTGCGTAGCCCTATTCCAGGAATTTTTTTAGCTTCTTCGTATGAAGTAATTGGTTTTTTATATTTCTTGATAGCAGATATTGCTTTACGATAACTGAGAATCCTCCATTCATCTTTCATTCGAGTATAGTGATCCAATAATACTTGCAGCTTTTATCAAAAAGTGATATTTTTAAAAAATAATTCCAGTGATTTAAGTGATTTACATATATTTACCTTTTCGATTATTAGTTTATTTGGGTTATTATTAGTCTCCCCATAACTATGGCTATGCATACATGCAAAGGAATTTTGTCCTCGGAAATTCTATAATAAAAATGACCTTTAATATTAAAAAAATGAATGAAATTAAATCAAATCAAATAATAACCTTCGCTTTAAAGGATGAAGTTTTAGTTTCAGTGCTGTTATTTGTTTGTTCATTGGTTTCCCCAGAATTCGTTTCAGAGTTGTTGGAATCTGTCACTACTTCCTCATTTAAATTCTCAATTTCCTCATTTAAATCAGTAGTTGTATTGTTGCTTTGTGTGCTTTCGTCATCATCTCCTTCGTCATCAACGTAAAGTCCCTATTAAAAAAAAGAAAAAAAGAAAATTATTTTAAATCACAAATTATTTAAATTTTTAATAATTAATTAAATACTAACAGCTTCTACAAGTCGTTTTGTTTCTGCAATCATTTCCGACAGCGGATCATCACTCATTACATTACAAGTAGTATCATTATTGGTAGAGTCTGTAAAGGATGTATCGTTATTTATATTTGATTCTAAGGATGAAACACATTCTTGTATAATATCTGAAGATAAAGGTTTTGGAGAATATATGCGTCTTTTCTTATCGGGCGTTTCGTGGTTTTCTAAGTTGGTTTCTTGTTTTTCAGCTTTTTGTTCGTCATGAGGTCTTTTCAAATTTTGTGTTTGTGAGCTTGAAGCGATATTTGTATCATTGGATTCTTCCGTATATAAAACTGCATAAGATTTAGTATCCCTCAGTTTTCCAAGCTATAAAATAATATATATATATAAATTATTTATAATTGTCAAAATGATGATCATCAAAATCAGTTCAAGAAACGATTAAAATTTACCATAATTGATTCGGATATCCAATCGGGTTTAATGATTGCAGCATCCTATTAATTTTTCAAAAGTTTTAATCGAAAAAACATTATTCTAAAAATAAATTATATTTTTTTTTTAAATAATTTACCTTAAAATTTTTTAATTTTCGAATACCAAACATTGATACCAACTGATTTCCATTTAATTCCGTTATAACATGTGTAACATTTTTTGCAGTTTCAATACTTTCTTCAATAATTCCACCTTTATCTAAAACTTTTGATTTCATTAAACTCAAACGAACTTTATCAATTTTATTTGGTATAAATAAAATTCTCAATTTTGAAAACAATCCTTCTTCAGGTTTAGATGAATTATTAAAAAGTTCTAATAGGTTAGTATCATCATCATTTACAATATTCTTCTTTTTCCTTCCACGTTTTGGTTTAGGTAAATCTTCTAATTGTGATTGTTGTTGTACTGTCTTTAATTGTGATAAATTTGGTAATAATTTTGATTTTGACGTATTTATAGTAGGATTTTTAATAATTTTACGAGATTTCTGTTGCTTTTTTGTTACATCTCCAGATTTAACATTATTATTTGGTACTACAAATTCATAAACAGCTTTTTTACGATCATTTATGGATTTGGACAATACAGAGAACGAAGAAACTTTTGACGGAAGACCGGCACCGACAGCACGGGGAGCAGCGTCACTTGATTTGACATCATTTTCCGCTTTAGAAGGTTTCTGTTTGGCTAATTCTTCTTTAGGATCATCCTCATCATCTACATTATCTAACATTGTGAAAGGATTAACTTCTTGAGATGATAATATATCAAGTGATTCCATTTCACCTAAAAATGTTGAGTTTAAAGATGATGATACACGTTCCCTTTCCATATTATAGTCTTCATCTCTAAATGAGATCTCATCATGACGATTAAAGGTTGAATTGTCCTTTTTCGATTCTTGTGACATAATTTATAGCTAGTTTCGAAAGAAAATAAATAAGAAAATGTAAATTTGTGTAAGATAATTTATAACTCGAACTCGAAAGATCGTTCTTTGTACTCTTTAATAGAATATATTAAACCTACAATGATGCTGCGCCAGTCATATGATGATATTTGATACTCACACTGTAACAGTTAAAGTCAAAGAAATTAAAAATAAGGTGAGATAAGATAAAATATGAAATAAAGAAACAATTTCAAAAGTTCTTAATTTACCTAAAAAAAGTAAAAAAAAAGAATCTATCTTTTTGACAAAGTTTATTTTTTTTTTTTTTTATGACCGACGATGACTGACAGTTGAGCTTATATTTATAAGTGATTTTAGACAAATGAATCACTTGATCAAGTAACAATGTTCCACTATGTTCTTAACAAGGTAGAATAATTGAGTATTATTGCGTAATATTTATACATTCAGTTTTTACTTATTTATTTTATTTGCTTATTTATTTACTTGTTTATTAATATTATTAATAAATTTCTTTATTTATAAAGGTCAAAATGATTTTAATTCCCTAAAAAATTAAAGCAGAGAATTCTTTAAAAATTAAAGCGGAGAAAATCTCCTAACTAGTTTTATTTAAAAAACCGCATACCTTTTTTAAATATAAAAAAAAAAAAAAATTGATGAAAAAAAAAAAAATTATCCTTTTTGAGTTTGAAATCAACGTGAACAATGCACAACCCATGCAAATTCCATGCCCTGTAACTTTTTACGCATGTTATCATTAAGTTATCGTCACCATGAATTATGCAAGTTACCCACATATTTAAAATCAACATATTTAACATATTTTATTCTTTTTTTTTTTACTTTTTAAATAAAAAGTAAATGAAACACATGGAACTCCTTCAAATAACACGTTTTTTCTTTATTCCCTTTTTTTAAAATAGTCTGCATTTGAACTCGGGCCGATACACGTCCGTGGTCCGTCATTTGAACCAATTGAATTTTTAATAACGGCATACACCGAATCATATCAGTCATTTGAATCATAAAATTGACTGACTCAGTTAGACAAGAAAGTCATCATGTATGTCAAATACAAAATGAGATCAACAAATTATTAAAACGGAAATGCGGAAATAGTGGTATCCAATCATCTTGGATTAAAATCCTCACGTGGTATAAAATCTTCACGTGGTATGTGGTGAAGGATTTAAGCGATTGTTCCTTAGTTCATAATTTCTTTTTTTTTTTTTTGAACAAAGTTCTTATTACAAGATAACAATAATAGACACACAAAAAATTATGTGTCAAGATTTACTAAATTAAGGAGTGGGGGACAAGAGAGTATGTATTAGAAAGTCTACGTAGTAGAGAAAAACGTGTAACGTATTGTAATTATTCCAAAGGTAAGGAAGAATAAGATAATTTAGTAATTTAAATGTGGGATTGTTCATATATATTATGTCATGCATATTTATTTGAGCCAAGTACAATATATAAAACAATTAGTTGTGGCTTAGAAAATTGAATTTGGATTTTGGAAATAATGTTATTGTAGTATCACTATGAATCATTTGAATAGAAATTACTACAACCATTGATTATTCTAGTAACATTGATTATTCATGATGAAGATAAAGAACAGAATCCATAATGTATGATGAGTTAAAACGAAGTTAAAGAGCAAAATCCGGAATGTTGAAGAGTAAAATCCGTGAAGTTAAAGAGCAGTATAAATTAAAAGAAAATTCTTAAGTATGATTCATCTCTTACGCAGATTTTTTTAATAGAATTTTATAAGAAATAGAGATGTATAAAACAAAAAATGGTTACATTTTACTGTTAGAACTGGAAAAACACAAATCATTAAAAACACAAATCGATTAATATAGTGTATATTGTATTCTCACCACTGCAATAACATGTTCGAGAACACTTGTGTTGTTATATCACTGAAATTTTTCGTGATATAAATCAAAACTTTACGTCAACTCCAAAGCTTCTCTTCCAAAGTAAAGGGATTTAATGTTAAATTAACGTTAAATAATTTCGTAGTTTAATAGTTAGAAATTTCAATCAGTAGTGGGTTTACCTGCAAAGGATTACTTGATTAAAGCTTATTGAAAAAAAAAAATATGAAGATTATGAAGGGAACCATGTTATTAAATGAAGAACAAAAAAAAATGAACGTACCTTGATATAAAGATTCAAATAACATGTTTTACAATGTAAATGAAAAGATCAATAATTTCATTTAATAAATGCGACTAAAAATTAATGAAGAAATGTGAAAAATTTTTGGAATGATATCAGGGAATCAAATAAAAGAAACCAGGTATAAAGGTTCCTTTAAATACTTATTATATAACTTGGTTCGAATATTCCGTGATTTCCGTCTATTGGTTGCCCTCATTAAGTTAAATCGAGTATAAAGACTTAAATATATATATATAAGGAAGCTTTTCTAATTAATCCTTTTATTTTATTCTCATACAAAATTGGTTCGGTCAATGGTCATCCTCTAAATTATATTTAAGAATCGAGTATAAAGTTTTTTATTCACTTAAAACATATATATAAGGAAGTTTTTCTAATTAATTCTTTTATTTACTCGGTTGCCCTCTAAATTATATTTAAGAATCGAGTATAAGTTTTTATTTACTGAATATACACCGCTCGGTCTAGAGTTGGGCGCCGAAACGTAGCAAATGCAGAAACTCTTTGCCGAAATCCCAAATCAAATTTTAGAGTTGAATTTCGGTAATAATTTGGAATTTTGGCATCAGTTTTGAATTTTCAGCAACAGTTTGGGATTTTAGCTAGTTTGGGATTTGGAATTTTCAACGATCATTATATTCCAAGAACTGAAATACTTTTGCTATACGGTTGATATATTTGCATCCAATTTTAAGTTTCAACAATGGTCTGGAATTTCAGCAATGGTCCGCAACAGTTTGGGTTTTGGCAACCATTTGGGATCTTGGCAATAGTTTTATCTATTGTCAAAATCTCAAACCAAAAGTATCCGGACATCTTCGGGATTTATAATAAATCATATGAAAATGGCTTTTTTTGAAATCTTCTGGTGATCGGAATATCTGAATATCACATGACATCTTATGATTTTCGAAGCTTAAATGGTTATAGTAATGTCAAAATTATATAAATTATATGAAGTTCCTATAATTATTCTTATAGATAACTTTAAATCCACATGAATGAGTTTTTATTAATAATTTGATATATATTCCATATGCAACGTACATGATGCTATTATTACTTTGTGATTTAAAATTTTTTGGAATATTTTTTTCAAAGTATTTAACCAATTATCATAGCTTTATAAATAGTAGAATTTTAAGTAGTGGTTATATAAAAAAATAAAGTTATACAGGGTTTTTAAAAAAAATGGTTTTTCATATGTTTTACTAATAAACTTTTGACCGGACGGTGTATATATATATATAAGGAAGTTTTAATTTTTTATCTCACATACATAACAAAACTACAAAAGATGACTTTACTCTTTATTAAGATATAATTAATTGCTTTTTTCCCACTACCCCTTACCCATAATAACAATCTGTTCATGTAGCAGTTTGATTTCTAAATGAATATAAATAAAATGTAATTCAGATGAACTTTTAAATATTATAAATAATTTATTTCATTTTAGGACCACCTGCACCAGAATACCGACTAGAAGCTTATTGGGTAATTTCAATGAGCGAGAGTTACCATACATGAGTACCATTCAAAATTTCGACTCTTTATAATACGATTCCAGACATTCAACAATCCTGACAAATCGTAATCCCGAAAATTCAAACACTCGTTATCCCTACACTTACATAATTCTTTTTTTTAGACGTGATACTTTGTAACAATTAAATATTTTCTATTTAAAATTTCGTAAGAGTTGATATAAAAATTAACATTTTTTTATTAATAAGTCAAATCGATAATAGCTTAAACGATTTCAGAATGGTCGAGAAATTCGCATTCCTTTAATCCGAGTATATATAGTAAACACGTATCCACACACTAAATGTTATCGTAATACCCATTAATCCAATTCATTACATATACATCTCCTCCCCTGGTAAGCGCTAAAGTATGATTACCTTTTCCTCTAAATCCAACCCCAGATTTCAAAAATTCAAATGACCAGAATTTATCCAAACTTTTCCAGTTTGAAAAGAAGAAACAATGATGACATCAAGGTGTAGGCCTGAAAAAAACAATTTATAATTAAAATTAACTAATTAAGTTAGAATTATTTATTTTTTTCATAGATATAAATTATGTTAAACCTTAAAAACATCTTTCGTCATTAAAATCTCGTATATTCCTAAATCGACTGAAAAAATAACAATAAAATATTTTGTAAAAGTTAATGAATTATTAATGTAAAAATTTTTTGTATTCAAGAGAATATAATTACGGCATTACGGTGATTTAATATATTACGGTACAAGCTTCATACGGTATTCCGACGGCAAGTATTAACATACAGTATCAGGTATGTTTTATTATCAAATAAAATTGTAAATATAGCGTAAAAAGAGTTTGAAATATAGTACCTCTATAATGATGACAATTAACTTATATAGTATATAATTTGCAATGTTGAATTCTATAAAGGGAATTATAACTTACCTATTCTTTTCGTCGTATTGTATGTATGGAATTTTGGGGGAACATAAATTTCACAATTGTATAACAGAAAGTTCTTTTTACCATTCAAGCCTATCCGTTTATCATGATGAATCACAATATATTGTATATTTAACTTCAGATAATGTGAAATAAGGTAAAGAAAAAATCATTACTTGTAAAACTATCAATACCGGTAAAACCATCAATATTTGGCATTGATCTCAAAATAACCGATTATACTATAAGGGGGGGTTACATGTCGAAAATACACTACAAGGAGTTATGGGGTAATCGACTGAGCGACTGAGTGACCAAGCGATCAAATTAATTGATATAAATCAAAATTTTATTACTAAAGATAACTTTATGAAAAAATCATCAATATTATGAATACCATATTTAGCGGTTCAACCCGTGTCGCATGCGACGAAAATCAGGCCAAAAATCATGTGAGGCATATGACATGATTCAATCAAAAACCTTAAAGTTTATTTTTACATTTGTGCAACTTGAAGTAAAAAAAAAAAAAACAAAAAGGGAACCAATAACACAATATTAAAGAGACACAATTTTATCGTAAGCTCACGTGATTTCGAATTCCAATATGATGATCGTGACATCGTATGATCACAACTCCGATTAGTCCGATAAATAATTCTATCTTTGGGATAATTGATTTTTTGGTGATAAATTTTAGAAAGTAAATTCTTTAGTAATATCAGACTGATATATTCAACTAATAAAACAAGATAACAATCATGTTATATACATCAAACCGGCATCAAACGGAATCAAACCAGCATCAAAACGGACTTGTACTTAATTGAATTAAAAATTTCGATCGAAAAAAAAGGTAAATAAAATAAAATATATGTATATATAAAAAGAAACAAACCAAACCAAAAATAAAAATCTTTTTTTTTTACAAAATATTTTGATATAATAACTTGTTTATTATATAAACAATATAATTTGTAGTACATTCTAAAATGACAAAAGAGAACCTATTAAATACAACTTCATTTTAATTACATACAATACATTTGATTGATTGAAATGATAAATTGATAATCTTTACATTATGAAAACCTTTATTATGAAATCTTCATTATGAATTTCTAAGGGTAATTCCGGTCGGCTTATAGAACGATGAGTCGAATGACCGAATTCTAACATATGCCACATATGCCACATATGCCGGTATTCTATATGAAAAGAGGAAATAAAATAAAGAAATAATAATTTTTTTTTAAAATAATGATGATGATGTCATTGATTCATTTAAATTTTTAATCATTATGGAACTATCATTCATGAGTTATTTTCGGGAGTCATAAGGTATTACAATACAATAAATATAGTAAATACAATAAAAAAATACAAAAAAAGAATAAAAATACAGATAAATAATTATTATATAATACTTTTGTACTTTTTGTACTTTTTGTACTAAATTATTTCTTCAAATCTTTTAATAGTAAGATTCATAACAAATTCCAGGAAATCTGGAAAATTGACGTTTTATCACAACAGCAAGCATTTAAAATTGGCGAAATCTGGGCTAATTATTGATGTGACACATTCAATACATGAAAAACTGTTCAAAATTAGTAAAAAAATAATGCTTTGTTTTAAACCCCGATTTCCCCCGTTTCCAAGTTAAGAAGTAAAGCAATGTAATTAAAATTCAAATTACTAAGATCAATAAATTTTTCTTTGTTTTATTAAATTTATGATTACTAAAAAAAATTTAATAAAAAATAAAAATGATTGTTTTATGAAAAGAAAAGGGTAACGGAAATAACTTGGAATAACTTGGAATAACTTGGAATAACTTGAAATAACTTGATTTTTTTTTAAATGTTACAAATGTAACATATTACATATTACAGTATTGTGATAAAAATTATTACTATATAAATCATTTTGATTACAAAAATGACCATTTTATTGTTTTTTTTTTTTCTTTAAAAAAAAACAATAAATAATATAAGTTTTAAAGGCTGAAAATATCAGTAAAAAAGATGGAAGGATTTAATTGGTACTAAAAAAACCAAAAACTTTAAAATTTGTTTGGGAAAGAAATAATTAGGAAAATTTTTTTTTTTTTAAAAATTTTTCGGCGAATCCCTTATTTCCATTAAATGACTATACCACATAAGGTAAATCTCGAAATTATTCTATGAATGAAAGTTTTAAAAAAAAAATTGGGAACATGAACAACATGAACTTTACCGACCGAAACAAAAAAAAAAAAAAATA